ATTTAGGTCAACATTGGATCATTCAGAGATCCTCACTGAACTTCTGGAGAGAGTTTGCTGCACTGAAAGTAAAGGGGCTGAATAATTTTGCACGCCCAATTTTTCAGTTTTTTTATTTGTTAAAAACGTTTGAAATATCCAATAAATTTCGTTCCACTTCATGATTGTGTCCCACTTGTTGTTGATTCTTCACAAAAAATTACAGTTTTATATCTTTATGTTTGAAGCCTGAAATGTGGCAAAAGGTCGCAAAGTTCAAGGGGTCCGAATACTTTCGCAAGGCACTGTGTTTCAAAATCCACTTGATGGGGCCGCTCCAAATCACATACATGTTCATGTTTACCCGATAATCTGACTCAGATAGATACTGATGCTGGTTCCAGCTTCAGCACCAGCTTATGTATAGAGTTTGATTTGCTAAGAAGAACTGAAGAAGAATTGCTAAGAAGAAACAGAATTTGATGAGTGAGATCAAATCAGATGGCAACTGTTAAATGAATAAGATGAATAAAATCTGTAGCCTCTACTGGATTTGCCCCAAAATAGATAACTTACCTTATGTGTTTGGCGTTCTGCAGCAGACACAGATATGCATCTACCGACACAGTGATAGCATCAAAATAACCTTATGTCCAGTATCAACCATGGGTGGAGAGAAAGGGTGACCAAATCTACAATGGAATGGTTCACAAATAAACATATCCAGGTGTTAGAATGGCCAAGTCAAAGTCCAGACCTGAATCCAATCGAGAATCTGTGGAAAACTGCTGTTCACAAACGCTCTCTATCCAACCTCACTGAGCTCGAGCTGTTTTGCAAGGAGGCATGGGCAAAAATTTCAGTCTCTCGATGTGCAAAACTGATAGAGACATACCCCAAGCGACTTACAGCTGTAATCGCAGCAAAAGGTGGCGCTACAAAGTATTAACTTAAGGGGGCTGAATAATTTTGCACGCCCAATTTTTCAGTTTTTTATTTGTTAAAAACGTTTGAAATATGTGTGTGTGTGTCATTTTTACACAAAATAAACAATTTTATTCATAATAATGTATGGTTATTTTATTTTATAGAACTAGGAGTTTAATTTACTTTTTACATGTATTTCAAATGTGCCACCCCTCTCCGAGTCTGCTGCCGGTCATAATATGTCATGAGCTGAGAAAGCATGCCATTCAAAAAGACCAAATGGCATGTGTATAACTGATATGTTTTAAAATGAAACTTTGGTTGCTAAAGAACATTATTTATCTATTTTTGTTTTGATGATGAGTGGCTGGGCCAAGAAAAGACAAACTCGTTTCATCATGAGTTGACACCGAAAGCTTACCTTGACATAAGCAGGCTGTTTCTCCAGAATCAGATCTGCAACCTTTTTAGACACCTATAGAGGGAGAGAGAGTGAAGATGAGAAATCACATATTAGGAGAAAAAAAGAAAAGAAATGTTCATGTTCTTCCCAAATGCCACTCCACAAAAACATTTTAGGCAGAGAGAAAAGAGCTAGAACAACAGTGTGTTTCTGTGTGAAGAACAGAGATGTCTGCATATAAACTGAAAGCAAAGTTGTTTACCCAGATTTGGCAAAGCTCCCCTAGAGTCAACAAAAGGCATTAAGGACATTATACAACCATGTTCACATGGTTAGCATTAATTTTAGCACATGTGTAAAATTGGTAGAGTGCCCCTTTAAAACAAGATCTGTGTTACAGGAAGGTTTGCTTAATAAAAAAAATTTACATTGTCATATATAATCTATTCAATAAGGGCTAGTTTCTGGAACTCACTGGATGTATCAGTGACATGAAAAACCATCTTGATGTCAAAGTCAAGAATGAACGTTCAAGCTCTAATGTTTCAAACTGCAATACAATTACATTAAAACTAATGTGCTGCTCCTTTTAATGACAAAGGACAAACACTCATTCAGTAGAACGAACCGACTTGTCCTTCTCCAAAACACAATGAAGTCCCCATTTATATTAGTGTAATTATGTAAACCAATACATACACCAAGTAGAGTTTTACAGCCAGTATAGCTTATTAAAGGTAGAGAGTGAGTGTTCATATATATGCAGTAGAGGAAGCTTGGGGTAGCGCTGACATTTCAATATGTGTTAAGTAAGCATGATGAGCCAACTGGAGACCTGAGCAGATGGCAAATGCAGCTCAACTGAAACTGCTCATTTAACAAGGTATGATTATCAGCATCTCTTTTAACATTTAATGTACGAATATGAGGATCACTGAGGAAAAAATGTTCAGTATTTGGAAGAAATGAAAGAAACTGGATAAGGAAAATGCTGGAGAAACAAAACACTATCTGGAGCTATTTTAAATAGAGCCAAAAATAAACCCATAACCATTCAAAAAGCTGTCCCAGAGCAGTGCCATACCACCACCCATCGGTAACCCATTGACTTTAACACAAGACACACAAACTTTCACACTGTAGATACAGACAGGTGACAAATTGAAGGAAAAGCCTGAATCAATGAGTGGTCTCATCCAGGATGACAGTGTCTCCATCCATAGGGCACGAGGTGTCACCGAATGGTTTGAGGAGTATGAAAATGACGTTAATCATATGCTATGACCTTCACAGTCACCAGATCTCAACCCAGTTGAATACCTATGGGAGGTTTTTGGAGCAACGTACTAGACAGCATCTCCACCACCATCATCAAAACCACAAATCTTTCGGAAGAATGGTGGTCATCCCTGCAATATATTAGAGACCTGTAGAATCAATGCTAAGGTACACTGAAGTTGCTCTAGTAGCACAGCATCTTATTAATACACTTTGTTTCTTTAATTTGTCTATATTTTGTTAGGTTTTTATGTGTATATAGATGTGTCTCAATAGGAACACATTTATTATTTGCTACTTCTTGTGCTTACTGAGATTTATGAGGTAATTAAAGCCATATTAAATGGCACTAATTAGGACTGGTAGCAGTGGAAAGTATCAGGCAGCTAAGTAAAATGAAGGTCTTGCTTTGTGATTAAGAGAGCTAGGAACTGAGACAAGGGTAAACCCAACAGTTAGGGTTTCCACTGGTAACACAGAATGATGCAGTCCATAGCAGAGGTCTAATGCACTGCTACTTCATTTGTAAGGATAGGTTGTTCTGTTTGTGCTGCATTTAAAAAAAAAAAAAATCTGTTTTGCCAAATGAAAACAACTTTTGGAAATTATTTTTCAAAGGTTCAGTGTCTTCTTTGTAGTGTCATATCATCAGACGGACTACTGTAGAGACTCACTCTAAATGGAGTGCTGGGGCATTTCCCATCACAAAATACCACTGTGTTCCTGCTTTAAAGCTGTGTGTGTGTGTGTGTGTGTGTGTGTGTGTGAGAGAGAGAGACTCTTTTTCATGCAATGATACGAACTAATGTGCTCCGTTTGTGCTACCTTAAATTTCCTGATTTAAACACGAAGTAATTTGACAACCAGGGAGAGTTTAGGCAAATTTTGCATAAGCATTACTAACTTTAAAAAAAAAAAAAAAAAAAAGAGCTGAGTGGACAGAGAATTCATTATTGCTGGAGGAAGGATAGTTATCTCTAGCTTTCAAGATTCATTAAAAATTGAACATGTTCATCCATGCTTTTAATATCGCCTTCTTCAACATCTCTGGAGTCTACATTTCATGCCAAGAAAGTCTCTTTCATAAGGATGGAAAATGTTGTGATACTGCTCCCAAGTTGTAATAGGTTGTAGTACTATGCATGTGTAAATGCACTCAGGTAGGTGATGGATGGTCCTCACATCTCCAGGGAGGATTTTAAAGACTTAAGTTAAAAGTATAATTAGGATTAAGTTCATGTTAGGTTAAATGTTAATGTAACAACAGTTGAAACGTTGCATCATATAATGAGTAAAAAGATTAAACCCCAAAGAGAATTATGATACAAGCATGTGTCCACATTAATTAAGGCTTTCTAGCATTTGTGTGGTTAAATAGGAATTATGGTGATACCGCACAACCAAGCTGCGTCTCTAGACATTTTTCATACAGGGCAAAGTCCCACAGCACAAAAAGGCAATTAGCCTAGACATGAGCCTCTGTCCGGTGCATGTCAAAAATACCAATTAAGCTTGGATACTGTGGCAGAAAAACAAGGTAGTGTTTCTTTTCTCCAATACCACAGAAAGTCTGCTCACCCCTACAGCAGAGAGGAAGAATAAGGAAGCAGAAAGGACTTTTAATGCCAGTATAAGTCACACAAACCTCCTCAAATCAGAAGGGAAGAAAGTGTGGTAAACAGTGGTACAATACTGCATCTCTCTCACGTTCATGTCATGTACTCACGCCCCTACTAGTACAAATGCAGACATACACCTACATAAAGATGCTTTACAACGTTTTAAAAAATGACATCACAGATAAAATGTGTAGGGACCCTAAACATCATCTGCCAATAGGAAAGGGTTCACAGGACAGGCCCATGGTGAGAATGTGAAAGCACAATTATCACTTTTCAAATGGCTATGTTCTGTTTCACACGCTGATGACTACATGCCTGTGTAGGCTAAGAATGGTATGTGTACAGCATGTACACACATATTGCAGTTTTCCTGTTTTACCTTAGATTCAGTTGTCACGTTCTCAATTCTCATGGTAATAGACCTCTGGTATGTAACCAGTACTAGTGTAACAACAGAGGATTGGAGTTAACTTTAGAGACTTTAGAGGTGATGATTGCAGGAAAAAAACACCAGAAAACCTACCCTGGAAAAATACATATAAACAAATCAAAGGAGTTATATACTGAAGACATTTTACAAGGGACTCAGGGCACTGATGTAGACCAAGTTATAGAGTGTCTGCTCACATAAGCTCAGGATTGCAGGGTTGCACTGATAAACATGCTGAGAAATGTAGCTGTGGATTTTCTGCCTGACAGCAAACCAGAACAATTACCATGGCTAGTCCCATGAGATGCCTGCAGGCTCACAGCAAGAGGGAGAGTGCAAGACAGAGACTGAATGAGGGTATGTGTCGAGTACATTTGTGCCTTGTAGGCTTTTCTAACCTGTAAGTCTCACCCTGCCAGAGGCCATGAACCCTGAAGCATCCTCTCAACTAAACAGACAGCTCTGTGAGCATCTGAGAAAAATGTCAAAGGATGTAAGGGAGAAGAAATACATATGACAAATATGAGGAGGCATGGAGGAACAAGCTGTGGCAAAGTAAAATAACAAAACTGATTAAAAGATGGAGACAAACAGGCATGTGAAACTACATAAGTTTGTCAGGATGGAGGCTTAATTTGGAAAAATCCACACTGGACTGTGGGTACAGAAGGAGCAAGGGGAAAAGAGCTGTTCTCTCTCCCACGTTTCTATGAATAGAATCTGTTGACAGGTCAGCTCTCCAGTCAGAGACTGCAAGCGCCTGACTAACCTCACAAAGACGACCACTACGGAAATGGTCCTGCTGTGGCACCAGGAGTTTGCTTTCAGTTGTTAGATTAGAATAGGTTCACCCTTATTGTTCATTGTGCAGGGTACATGGTCCAAGCCAATGAAATGCAGTTAGCATCTACCCAGAAGGACAAAAGATGGCATATTTACCAATAAAGGAGAGGGAGAGCGAGAGAGAGAGGCAGGGGTCTACCATACCAGGCATAAGACCGCTCCAAAGTGGGGCGAGTGAGGGAGGCATTTTTATTTATACTTTTTTTTTGTATACATACATATATACATATACATATACATACACATGTACAAAAAAAAAGTATAAATAAAAAATTCCCTCACTCTTCTTCTTTGGAGTGGTCTTATTCCTTCCTTCAAGCTCGGGTCCCTACACAGTGGGTCCCCCCCAATGAGGTGAATCATGCCAGGTTGCCTGCTCAACACAGCTGAAGAAATGAATGCAAATACCATGCTGCATGCAGGATATAAGATAAAACTGAACTGATCCATTTCAATTATAAAGTGACCAGAAAATGTTAAATGTTGTATTTAAGCCAACAATTTGTCATTAATACTGATAAGCATCACATTTTGCCATCGCTTGGGATTGCTACATCTGTCACTACGGCCTTCTTCTTCTGTTTGTCCACCACTACTATGTCTGGTTGGTTGGCCATTACCAGTTTGTCAGTTTGTCAGTTTGTATCTGGACGTCCCACAGTATCTTAGCTGTTCCTAGCACTGCACTCTTCTGGACAGAGATCTCAGATGTTGTCCCTGGGATCTGTTGGAGCAACTCTCCCAGTTTGGGGGTCACAGCCCCCAATGTTCCTATTACCACAGGGACCACTTGTGCCTTCACCTTCCACATCTTTTCTAGCTCTTCTTTCAGCCCTTGGTATTTCTCAAGCTTCTGGTGGCTTCCTTCTTCCTGATGTTGCTATCGCTTGGGATTGCTACATCTTATCACTACGGCCTTCTTCTTCTTCTTCTGTTTGTCCACCACTACTATGTCCGGTTGGTTGGCCATTACCCATTTGTCCGTTTTTATATATA